AGAGTATTTTACACTGTGGTACTCCTAATTTACTCAAGTAAACGATCTGAGAACAGCGTCTGTTACTAGCAGAGAAAGCCAACGTGATCCAAAACAGACACAAGTCTGTAGAAACCACCTCCTTTCTTTGTCTCACCAGTTTGACCGAAGTGCTGCAGTGTGTGTTGATGAACTGCTCGTCTCTTCCTACGTTCGCTGCTCCGCTAACGTCAGTTTGTTGGTGATGGGCTACGAAGTGTTCACACGCTCCTCCACGCTTCACTGTCAAAGCTCGTTATCAAAACATTAACACTGGCACAAACGTATTCCTACGCGCTGTCCGTTGTCCGGGTGCTACAGTGGCTTAGGGGTTGAGTTCCGCCTTTCTCTTTCCGACCACGTTTTTGAAGAAAATTTTAATAGAAATTATAAGCTACTATTTCTCTGAAGCTTCTTCCGGTTCTTTTAAACCAGGAACTCACAATAAGACGAAGCAGACCGCTTTAGATTTTATAAAAAATAACCGTGCTGGTTTATTCAGAGGATCACAGGTAAAATTAACATTACACGTCCAGATCTCTCACCATCCACCTGCGCGCAGGCAGCTTGGAAAGATCAAGATTCCTGGACCAAGAAACCTATATAATCTTAATCATTTTGGGCTAGCCCATGCTACGCAGGGCGTCAAACCGTGACGTCACCTGATATGCCAGCCTGCAGCTGACTATAACGTTAGCCAAAACATGAGGAAAGGTCAAGGTGTGCGGCTGTTGTTTTCGTGGTGTGTATCTAAAACAATTTGACATAACCTTACACATTAAGACAAATATTAAGACTAGCATTACAGTTGACACTAACAGCTCTTTGCCTGCAACCTTGGCCTACTTGCAGTCTGCACTGCAAGCACATTACTGAACAGTTAACAGCCTGAGCTAGTCAATCTGTCCCCACTAACATTTCTAGACAACAAATCTCTGAATATCTTATCTAACTAGGAAATAACCTAACAGAACGATTTTTGCAATTTGTGAATAAAATCGTAGCAGACATGAATTACGGTTCTAATGTGATGTTGAGCATCTTTTTATTAAACAGGTACTGAAAAGCAACTAGTAAGTAAAGTTGTATGACTATACTAGTCAGCCATATAGTTGCGCTAGATCACATGTGCCAAACTGAAGGCCCGCGGGCCACATCCGGTCAGGCGTACAATTACATCGGGCATCCCATAATGCAGCGCAACAGATGCATTACCGAACGATAGGCTACCTGCTGTTAGAAATTAGTAAATCAGTCAGATAATTATTATAATTTAACGTGTTAGACTTTAATGTATTAGTAATGCATTTTGCTAAGATTCAAAGTCTACCTGCGATCATTCCCGCGTCAGTTATGTCAGATCAATCAATCATCAATCGTCTGTTGATGTATACAACCCTAATTTCAAGTCAAAGCTAGCCCCTAACAATGGCCCAGAGAAAAGTTGATTCTGAAAACAGCCTTTCAAAACAGGTGGGAGGCTGAGTATATGTTTACTGACATTGTGTGTCTTATGTGTGGAGCTAATGTGGCTGTAATTAAGGAATATAACCTAAGACGGCACTACAAGACAAAACATCAGGACAAGCTGGAAAACGTGAATGCAGAGCAGAAGCTACAGAAGGTAGTGTAAGATTTGATTCTCAGAGGCTCTAGTTACTTTTGTAATACCCCAGTTCTTTTATTGGACAGATCTGAATAACGAAGGGGTCCATGTGTGTGTATGTACACACACACACACACACACACACACACATATATATATGTATGTATGTATGTATGTACATATATATATATATATATGTAAGGATTACAGAACACAACCCAGGGCTCCCTCCTTCAGACAAGCTGCTGGAGAAGAGAGCAGAAAAAGACCCGGAAACACAGATCCTAATACATGTATCAGTTTTGGGCTAACCCCTTACACAGATGAAGTCCGTCCAGCTGACTCCATGTCTTATCTAGAGCTCCACAGGCTTGGAGCAGCTGTGTATTATCTAGTCATAACAAAATGAAGAATTCCGTGTGTGTGTGTTGTTGTTACGTGGTGTGTAACGAAAACAATCATTCAGACATAAATCTAACACAAGATTAATACAAGAAAACAATTGGTGTCATGGCTTACTGCTAAGCTTGAAACAGAGCAGACTAGAGCAGACTTTGAATCTTACTAAACTGCATTAATAACACATTAAAGTCTAATCATTATCTGACAGATTTATTAATTTCTAACACTTTATAAGCTTTACGGTTGCTGGTTTTAAGTTCAAGTTTATTTATTTTTTAATAATATTGTATCTCGTCTGTTTCGATTCATATTTATGTTAAAAAACATTTAGTTTTAGTCTGTTCAATAAATGTTTATCCTGTTCAGTCCACGACCTAAAGTGTGCTTGCTGTGTTTTGGTCCTTTCATGGGAGATATTTTTATATGTCACAGCAGCAAAGGCACAGATGTAAATGATAAAATAATGTTGAGTGTATTCACTTATGCTGCAGTTTCAGTGTCCGTGTATTGTGCATGCTGGCTCACTGTCAAACTAATTTACTGAGAACTTTGAATAGATTTACAACTGTTAATTATTTGTAGTCATATTTAGGGCTGAAACATTTCATTGATTGTTGCCAACTGAAAAATGTACTGGCAACAACTCGGACACTCATTAATTGGTGAAAACATCTTCCAAACAAAATGCCAAACATACTGGTTCCAGCTTTTCAAATATGAAGTTCAGCTTGTTTTATGAAGCCATCTGAATATGTTAAATTGGGTCTTGGAAAAGGTCATGCACACTTTTCTCTTTTTTTGACATTTTATAGACCAAATGAGTAGCACATGAAATAATACACTTTAAGCACCTTTCAGGTAACTGAAGGACACTGCATAGAGAAACAAACAAAAAAGAACTCATGAAAAAGCTGGTTTTGAAGTCTAGATTAAAAAAGATATTGACTCAGTGTATTAGTCGTTAGTTGCAGCCTTTGTTGTCTTTTCTAACTGGATACTGGTCACATGCCAGATAACATCTCTTCCATTCGTCTGTTGTTCAAATAGAGCCTCGAATATACTGTATAGACAAGTTGCTGGCTACATATGTAGTTAAGCATAGCAACCAAAACCTGACGGTATACTGTGCTCAGTGTCCTTATCTGGTTATTTACATATCGTAGAAATATTGTTTGCCTAAGATGCTTAGCCTCCATTCACTGAGCACAGATACAGTAGATTTAACTCAGCAACTGATGGTGCACACAATCACCAATATGCCAACACATCAGCTTTACAAAAGACTGCAGTTGGACCTTCTGCTTTGACTTGAAACTAAATTTGTGTGGACTTAATATTTTTGATGGTCATACCAAACAACAACAAACAAAAAAAAGACCATTATCAGAGTCTCATCAAGCTATTCTGACCTACAGCAATGGAAGCCTGTAACATCATCAGTTAGGACTTCAGTCCATAATTAAATAATCTTTGTGCATTTAAAATATAGTGTTGATCATCATGAAGACTACAGACTCTCTCAGCTTGTTAGAAGTCCAGAAAGCCCGAAACAGCTCAATGATATGACTGCTCTACAGAAATATCTATTTAGTACTTATCACATTAATGCAGACTTTGACCCTGTCCGGATCCTGTAGGAATAATCGCCGTCTTTCCAGTGATCTGAGTGCTTGGTGCTCAGAGTGTTGACAGGTTTTGATTCAATCCTCTGAAGTTAACCTGCTCCAGAGGAGCTTAGCCATGCAGTTTAAGTTACCATGGTTATCTAGCCCGATTAAAAGTGAGCCAGCTTCATGGTACCAGAGAACCTGGGTTGAGCCCAAAGTTAGCTGGATAAGCCACTAATCTCACTTCATGATACAGGCCCCCAGTCATTTGTTTGTGTATTTAATTGTTGCAGGGTTTACATGCAGCTAAAATAATTTGATCATACTTTCAACGTACAAAATTTTACAGTGTACAACTGACCACTGCTTTGATAATACAGCTGTGTGCAGCAGGAGAAACATCTAAGATTAAAAATTATCAGCGTTTGCTTAGAATCAATGAGAAAACCCAAAAACAAACACTCCACACCTCCAAAAATATAAGATGCTCCTTTTCTTTCAGTGACAGATTAACATACCACAGATCTGGACAGACAACAAACATACTAAAGATACTGTAACTGCTTCTGTTTTTCCAGATAAATGTGAGAAATGTCTTCAGGAAAGAAAGAAAAAGATGCTCTGATATGTTTGTTGTGTTTCAGCAGATGAAGACATTATAACAGAGGGGACACATTTCCAGAACACATAAGCAGACAATCATGACAGTGCATGTGTGTAGTGAGGCAAGTGAGGCAGGGTCCATGTCCATATGTAGTGTAACTGGACAGCATTTAAATAAAGATGTTTTTATGTTCTCAATCCTACATCAGCTTCCCTAACATATAAACATCTTCTATGCCCTCTTTGTTCTTTTGCTTATTAAACAGGCAGTGCATTTGGAAGGTTTCTGGTGGGGTGACATCCTGGTGTGACCCAAACCAACATCATAAAGATCTTTAGTTAGTCTTGGTGTACCATGGGGGTCATTTGGTCTTGAACTTACTGTGGCTTGAAAAAAAAAGCAAACAATAGAGGTAACAGGGACTGCAGGTTGAGAGACAGTGCCAGCATTCTTGTGTTAAGGCTCAAGGCAGTAGTAGTCCATCTTGATGGGAAATAATTTCACTGGTCTTTTAGCTGCATGTTCTTTGCTGTATTTATTTCAGTAGAGCCTGTGATCCCTAACTATGCTATTATGGATTCTTTATTTTGTAACAGTATCTGTTAGAATAAAATGATAGCGATATGATTTATAAAAAAAAAAAGAGTAGGATCTATAGGGCAAAGATTTCAGCTTTCCCTCCCTGTGTTATGGTAGGGAAATATTAAAGTTGCTATAGTCAATATTCCTGTAGTAACAATGGGTCCAATTATTTATGTGTAAAGTGGTCGCTCATTAATGTTGAACTCACTGAGAATTATCACCTGCAGTTTCCCCTCAGCTCAGCTCAGTTTTGGTTTTCTTACCCAGAGTTTTACTGTTGTGGTTCAGTCTCTGAGCTCGCATAGCAACGTTTTTGGCTTTTGTATGTTACCTGCCCAGCACCAAACTCCAGACCAAGCAAAGTTAGTAACTAGCTGTTGAACACAGTGGACCATTCAGCTAAGGAGCAAGATATTTTTCTAGAATTGGACTTAAAGTCATCAGATGGTTAGAAACAACTGAAAATGTTGCTTATAAGTTCACTATGTCCACATATAGGTGACAATATGTCAACATGTCAAGAAAGCAATTTTCCAAGATTAAAGTCCTCACCAGTCAGATACATCATCTGTGCAAATTTAGAGGAACTGTATAGAGGTGTTAGCAGTGCAGCAGGAGCTCTGTATCCCACTCCAACACTCCAAGCTGTTTTTACATTAGGAATATGGTAAAGCATAAATGTCCATCACTTAAGATGCAGTGCTGCCACCAAAACTGCTTACACTTGTCACTTTCCTCTAAACTCTTTTGCCCATCACAACCTACTGAGTTGATTTATCTGCAATCCTCTGAGTGGGGGGATTCAATCTGATAAATGTGTCCCCTGTCCTTATCAGCTGCTTGAGATTCATCCTTGTCTTCTATTTGGATTCCTTCTCAGCATCCAGCAGCGCGGAGCGGATGCCCAGCTTCTTCAACTCCTCCACCAGATCTCCATTCTGGTGCATCTGGAGCAGGATGTCACAGCCTCCCACAAACTCGCCGTTGAAGTACACCTGAGGGATTGTGGGCCAGTTGGAAAAGGCCTTGACTCCTATTGAAGGTAGATGTTGTTAGCATCTAAAAAAAACAACTAAACAATTATGACATCATATATCAGAGTATAACTGGATGATGACTAACCTGTGACATTTTAATATTAAATAACTTCAGTTTAAAACCAGTTACATGTTTTGTAAAATGACAAGTAGGAAGCGATACCTTTTGGTTTGCCCCTCAAAAACAGTCAAATGTGTGTAATAAATAGAAACACGGAGTAGTTGGCATTGGCAGTGATAGCCAGCATAACAGACACTCCTTTGCATATTGATGGTGTAACGTTTGACTTGAAGCACCGCACCCTTTGGTCCTGCTGCTGAACACTGATAAACCCTAACAGTTGACAAAAAGCTGTTGGGTATAGGCTAGTTATAGATTTTGTAAACTGTCCAAACAGGAAAGACAGCTAACAGTGGGGGATACAGACAAACACTAAAGGTACAAGCAAATTATGTCGTAGCACTCTCACTGTCTTATCTATGAAGGAGTTCAGTTTAGTTACATGTTATAGTGACAACTTGTTGCTGTCATGTCATGAACACGTCATTCAGTTTACGGACCTTGTCGGAGGTCCTGGTTGTCCAACACGTTGTACGCAGCGTAGTCGTCCACTCCATGCATGCGTAGGATCTGAACCACGGCGTTACTGAAACCACACATGGGCTGTGCGGGCGTCCCTTTCATGAACACCACCACTTTATCCTTCTTCACCATTTCACCAAGGCCTCCCTGGAGGTCCGCCGTCGCGCACAGGAGCCGGGCCGAGGTCGGCCACAAGCGTCCGTCGGCTAGTCTGGGTTGACAGACCGTCGCCCCCGACCGCAGACAACGAGCAGCAGTCCTAATTAAACTATTCATGATATTTGGTAAGTTATAAAGTTATGTGAAATGAAAAAGCGTCGTAACACTACTGTGTTTCTCAACAGCGGCAGTACAAGGTAGTTTAACACACTTCTTCAAGCTCGCAAGAAGGGGCGGGACCTGACGTTGATTGTTGATTGGACAACGAACCAAACAAAAGCTCATCTAAATTTTCATTGGTAAATCCACATGTCAATTATATCAGTTACACACGGAATGCTATTTACAGGGGCGCTTTATTGAAAGCAAATTCACCACAGCCATTATCACCAGCCAAATCATCTTTTTGTATTTTCTTCCGAAAAGCAAATACAAAAAATAGAAAATATTTTTCCAGGTTACAGAAGCCCTCAAGAACTTCCGGGGCGACTTGAGCAGAGAGGAAGAAGACAGCGGTGGTTTGAAAGATGGCGGCGCACACACAAAAGAATAACAAATCGGGGAAACCTGGAGGAAAAGAGGCTCAAACTTTGATAATCGCCAAAACCCCGGCAGAGGAACAGCGTCTAAAATTGGAGAGGTTGATGCGAAACCCTGATAAACCTGCTCCCATCCCAGAACGACCGAAAGAATGGAACCCGCGGGCCCCGCCGGAGTTCGTCCGGGATGTGATGGGCTCCAGTGCTGGCGCAGGCAGCGGGGAGTTCCATGTTTATCGGCATCTCCGGCGCAGAGAGTACCAGAGGCAGGACTTTCTTGATAAGATTGCAGCAAAGCAAGACAAGGACCAGGATTACCTGGATAAGGTGGAACAAAACAAAAAGGCTGCCGAGGAGAGAACGGCTAAGCGCAGGAAGAAGCGGGAAAAGCAAAAACAGAAAAAGCTTATGTCAAAGAAGGCAAAGCTGGAAGCTAAAAGTAAGAAAGAAGAGGACGCTGATGAGAGCTCGGACAGCAGTGAAGAAGAGGAGGGGGAAGAAAGAGAGGCTGAAGATGATGCCGAGGCTCCTAGCTTCATCATGGGGAAGAAATGACTGACCCTCATATGATAGATCCGGGTTGGCAGGACTTGTTACTGGTAACATACTGGGAGTAATGCATCACGAGGGGAGAAGTGCACTAGAATCACACAATAGCATCAAAAAGAGAATTTGTCCAAGAGGAATGTAGAACTGGACTGGATGTTCTGACTAGTTTGATAGTCTGGCCACCCCCGGAGTATGTGTGTGTGTTTTTTTTTGTTGTTGTTGTTTTTTTTTTTTTTTTTAAACAGGCAATAATAGTTAGCATCCCAGTGGGAAGACAACATGTTGAGATGCTCCTGATTCTTCATTATGCTTGTCATAGACACTGAACATGCTTATTGTATTTCACACTTTTCAGCTAGCTGTCATATTCAGGGGTTTGTTTAATTTGCTTTAATCAAGGTTAAAGAATCTGAACTTAACTGAATTGTTGGAAAGCTATATTTTTAATGTTTTAATAAAAACCAGAATGGGCATAACATCAAGGTGTAACCTAATTTGTTTACACTGAAGGATAGTGTATGACAGGACTGACGAGATATTAGAATTGCATGTATGGATGTATACCGTACGTGTGCATCATCTGTCTATCTACATTTTAATGGCAGGATTTGCAGACTTGTGAAGCTGCCCCTTGCAACGACTGTTTCCCGTGGGTACAACAAGGCTGCACAAAGCAACTCAAAGAATGAAAAGGCATGACTCCTGGAGGCTCAGGGGCTTCATGTGCGATGTTCCTTGGACAGACTCCTGCCTTCTACGGTGGTGATTGTCTCCTTCTGTAGCCATCACCTTTCTTGAGGCAGGTAGAGTAAAACCAGGCAGCCAGATATAGTTTGATAGGGAAAGCTCTTCCTGTCAGACACTGTCAGCTGTCACAGTAACATTTCTGATTGTGTATTCCCCATCCAGTACTGCTTTGATGAAGAGATTAAAGCACATGCAGTAGATCATGTTTTTGTCTGTGTCCTCATTGCTAACATTTTTGTTGGTTTATCTTCTGTTTAATCCAGGAAGCTGTGAGGTGTGCAGTTTTTTTGCTTCCTAACTTTCCAAAATAAAATATTTCTAATGTCAGTTAGAGATGATGCAAGTTGATCAAAAGATCCAGAATCAGTGAACGTGTGTATATTTGTCAAGTACAGAAGAATATGGAAGTTTGTCAGGTGATCCGCTTGAAACCGAGCATCACTCAAACTGTCACATAGTATAAATCCCAAAGAGGTGTTTGTATGCACTTTGCATATTGATGTAATACTGCATTTAATGAAACCTACCATCAGAAAAACTGTTTTATTTGCCCATAAAAAGTATAGTGGTGAAAGCAGTATTGTGGTCATTTAAGTAAAAGGAAAGTTACAGGTAAAGGTACTCGTACAGCACAGTGTACCTTGTCAAATATATATTCAGTATTATTGGACATTATTATTAATGCAGAATTAATAAACAGCATGTTATTTTAGATTACTCATTTTGATTTTTTTGTTTGCTTTTGGGCCATTTAATAGTATCAATATACATTTTGTTTTATGAGTTCCTTTTCTTATGATTTATGTGTAGAATGTTTATCTGCAAAGTAACTAGAAATTTAGTTGTCAACTACAACAACAACAACAACTTAAAGTGCTTTACAACAGTGTGATACAATAAAAGTGATTATGAGACTATACAAAATTATTTTCATTTTATGAAATGGAGTAAAAAGTACAATATTTACCTCTAGAGTGGAGTACAGGTTGAAGGAAATTAAAATAAAATCTTAAATGCAAAACATCAGTAAATCTTAGTTTTTAGTGATTTTAGAGCACTGTAAAATGAGTTGTTGAAATTGACAGAGTAGAAACTTTACACTGATTGCTCTGACATGCAGACCCAGTTAAAGTGCCTGTAGTATACTTGATAGCTACACATACAATGCTAAAAACTACATGTCCCAGGCAAAAATCAGCATGTCACCAGTTTAGTATGACATGAAAATAAAGCAGTAGCATTGTTCTTGTGTCACAGTGTAGAGATAGCTAGCTATAGTATTATACTACAGTATTATAAATAAAACTGTATTTAAATGAGATTTTTTTAAACATAACTTTGAATGTTTTGGTAGTTCATTAAAAACATGTAGACAGCTAATACAGTGGCTTTCAAATTGAGTGCTTTACTTATAAAATGAGTTCAGAATAATGGTACTGGCAAATGTAGTGCTATCCAACTGGAGTTGCCAGAGTGTAAACTTGCCCAAACCAAATCAAGAGCAAACCAGAGGCAGCCAAAACTGATACATTATCCATCCATCCATTATCTATACCACTTATCCTGAACAGGGGCTGGAGCCTATCCCAGCGAGAGGAAGGGTACACCCTGGACAGGTCACCAGTCTATTTGAGGGCTGGCACTTAGAGACAGACAACCAGCAACACTCACACTCAATTTAGAGTCACCAATCAACCTAAGCTGCATGTCTTTGGACTGTGGGAGGAAGCTGGAGTACCCAGAGAGAACCTATGCAGGCATAGGGAGAACTTTCAAACTCTGCACAGAAAGGCCCTGGGTCACCCGGGGCTCAAACTCGGGCTGACCCTTCTTGCTTTGAGGCAACAGCACAAACCACTGCGCTGCTCTGCTGCTATGTTGCCCTCTGATACATTGGCAGCTTGGTTTCCTACAATATAATGGAACTACTTACTGACACCCCCCGACCTTTGGAAATAACACTTAGTGCTACTAGTATGCTGGTTATCCAGACATGTTAATGTTTGCAATACATACATTCCTTACAGTTTAGCTAGTGTGCTTTTGTATATGCTAAAAAATAACCCATTAACCTCCAAACTCATCTATACTGAGTATCACTCTTACTAATAGCCTCATGCACACTGTTTTAACTTCAGCTATAAATGGACAATTCAGTCACAGATGCTACAGATAATCACATTTTTTGTCAGTTTACTGTGTAATTTTGTTGCTTTAATGTAACTTTCTTCATAATAAGTATGAATGTGAAGTGATTCATTATAACTTGAATCTAACACATGTACTGTATGTATTCCACTTTTCAACTGTGAGGGAGGATTCATTTTTCAGCCTTCAGTAGCCTCTTGTGACATAACCCCATTAGAGCCAGAAATGCTCTTGGTCCTGTGCATCCTACTCTGCTGCTGCCTTATCCTCCTGCAGTGCACCCTTCTTATTAAGATATGCTTATTAGCCCAGTTTCCAGTAATGAGCCAAACAGGGACATTTAGGGCTTGGCTGACTCTTTATCTGTGTCACTATATTTCCCTCAAGGCAACATTTAATAATTATGTTTGGTTCTTGCTGCCAGCAGATACAGTATAATTTGACACTTGGGCTATAGATTCAGATAAACACATAATACTGCTCCTTGTTGTTGCATATATTTTCAGCTGGCTGGTCTTACACTACACACATTATTAGACATGGTTTGTGAGGTGTGTGTGTGTGCTAATTGGATGTCTAAAATGCTCTCCCTCTGTTTATGTGATTTATTTTTCTGCTTGAAATACTCCTTTCAATTTTAGTTGACATAGTCAACCACATGGTGGCATCACAGCTTCACAGCAGCAACTTTGCATGGCATGCTGGCTATACAGCACTTTGTTGATAGCTGAGAATCCCATGGGCCCTGTTGTTTAATTAGAAGCTGTACCGACATGGTGAGATTCAACTGATAATTTTTAATGAGCATTTTAACATTTTGCTGACTCCCAGTGTGTCAGTTGTGGCCTAGAAAGTACAGTAAACAGTTTCACTGAGTTCATCTGGGATGAACTCAACTATCTGTATGATAGTTAAGGATTATCAACATTGCAGGCTTTGTCATTTGCTATTTATGTTTTTACTATTTAAATTCTAAACTAGACAGCACACAATAGCACAAACCTCCACCAAGGTGGCTCACTGTCCCCATAATGGCATCACGTAAAAGCAATATTACCAGGATAGTTGGACCCTCATAATATGATTCCTTGGTCATGAAAACCTTCCCCCAGCATTTGGAGTCACTTTGACATCATTATTAGTTTGAAGGTTATTCAAGAAAAATGATTTTTTTTTTTTTTTTTTTTTTAGTAATGGTGATTTCTTTAGGTTCTGAAGCAGCTGGATTTTGGCTAGAATTTGATCTTAGTTGCAAGTGTGTAGCATCATCTGCTGTCTCACAGTGAGTTTTCAGCAGGCCCTATACATTTGAACATTTTGAATCAGTAGATTCAGAATATTACTTGAATACTGATCAGATCTTGGTGTGTTGTATAATTGATATTATGTGGATGTTATCATGCAGTTTTTGTCCAAGCATTATAGGCGTCGTGTGTGGGGTTAAAAGCAAAAAGAAATGGACCCTATCTCTAAATGGTGAAGAATCCTGTAAAAAAAATTCCAGGATCAGTGCTGAAATGTCCTATGGGCCATATTCCACCTTTCCAAAAGATGTCATCAAAATCCATTCATTACTTTACACTGTGAACAAACCAACCAACCAACCCAGAAACACTCCACCTTGGTGGAAGTAATAATAAAGCAGATCCTTGTTTTATGTCATTTATCTCCTGGTCCTTTCCATGAAACTGAAACAGGCCTGTAAATAATGTATTTATAGGCATCATAGACATATTAGGCACATTAACTGTGTACAAGTCAAACTAGAGACAGAGTTTGTATGGGTCAGTTGCATAAGTGTTCAAAATCCATGTTGACCAGAATTTGTATTATGGGGGGAATGACTGTGCATTGTCCTTAATGTCCACACATGCACACACGCACACACACACATTCTTTGCTGGTGAAATTCTAAGAACAGAAAAACATGCTGCCATTGTTTGCTTGGAGCTCAACCCTTGGGTCAAAAGCACAGTCCCAGAGATCAATATTCTTTCAACACCACCACCACCCCCGCACTGAGCCACAAGAACAACACGCCCGCAGATCTGGAGATTAGCCAGTCCTATGTGCACTCAACCTGCAGCATCTCTGGATCAGGCTGATCCAGGATGGCCAGAGCTGTTGGGTTTAGTTTTACATATGGATTGATTGTTCCAAAGCCTAAGAAACTCTTCAGCAGGCCTTTGGAAAAGGAATGAGATGTCAAGCAGCACTCAACACATCAGCTCTAAACACAGCTTTGGCCTTTGAGCTTTACTGTGACCCAACCACCAAAACCACTGCTGAATCCAATGTCCAGAAGCAGCAACTGCATCAGCTCTGGCCCTGCTGTCTAAAATCTCTGGATTTTAGAGTGGGAGCCAGGCTCTGGAGGCCCTGGGACTGGCAGCCAGCTCCACGGAGCAGAGCATGAAGGCCACCATATCAGCTCTCCTAGAGCTGCCATATAGCCTCATTCTACCAGAGAAATAGGGGTGGAGGTGGGGTTCAAGGGTAGACTCTGAGGCTGCAGAGACGATGGGCCACCGCAGGGGTGGAAAATAGGCTGATATAGGAAACAAAGCTGATATACATGATGGGGCAGGGGGTAAGACTGGAACTGAGGGTGGGGTTCATGCTGGGGATCAGTTCAGAGTGTGGAGCAGCCTGCATGTTAATGGAAAATTCTTGCTAGACTGCACACACTGCAGCTTCCCTCTTCAACATCAGCTGTGAGACTTTGATGAAAGACTTGCAGTCTCATACTAAAAAGCATGTGCATTTCTTGTTAGCTTCTTGTATGAGAGTTCCAATTCTGTTCATGCATATTCATATTCTCAGCACAAGGTTGGGGAATAGTCCTGTAAATGAAGTATATAGGAACAATGAGACAGATGTATCACCTCATTTCTGCAAAAGAAAAACAAGCATGCTCAAATGAAAGCTGAAGTGAAAATAGATTTCAGCTAGATTAGGAGAAATATAGTTGTCAATATGTTATTTTTTGTGTCTTTGGAATACTGCCCACTGTGTAGCATATTAAGCACCAGCTTTTTCATCATTTGTCAGT